GTATTTTTTTACTGGCACAAATCTGTAGAAAGTGATCTTATCTCAAAGGATTTTTGTCGTCACACTTCTTGCCGTATAATGTGCAATTTATCGAGGGTTGTAGAGCTTCCTGACAGAAAAAAATTTATATTTTTGTTATTCAGTTTATCGTCTACGGAAAAAAAGAAAAAATTATCTTTACAATAAATTTAGGAAGAACTGATCACTTTTGTTGATGTCGTATTTTCGGAGTCTGTTTGGAGGGCAAAATGATAACGTCCGTGAAAATGAAAATGGTGCGGAAGTGGTAGAAAAATTGGTAGAACGGGTTGAGACGTCAACGGTTCTAGAAGATCGACGAGATGCCTTGAAAGTGCTGCGAACGCTTGCTAAGGTTTTGTACTGTTTTGGTTTTTGTTGGTATTCCCCAATTAGTGACTTTGTTCTGATATTTTGTCTTTCATTTATTAGCCGTTTTATTCTTCATTAAGCTTTGCTTTTACGAGTTAATATATCTTCAAGATAATTGCTTCTTTGAAACAAGTATTTATTATCCTATTTAGAAAATGCGACTACCCGTTGCAATGATTGGAATGCAAGCGTACATTGAAATACTGGAAAAAGAAAAAACCAACTTAGAATTAGTAGCGCTAACACTCGATATACTCGTTTCAGTTGTTCAGGATGAAGACGTAGAAGAAGGTTTGCAATTGTTGCTAGACTAATTTATTGTGTATTGCTTTAAATTTTGTTTTATTGGAGGATTAGGATGTGAACTTCCAAATGTGTCAGTTATGCAGGCGTGTTTTTCCACGATAAATTTGTTTTTCCTACCAATTTGCCTTGTGAAACAATCGCAGATTTCGCTTTCTTTGCGAACAGAAGTGACGGCTGGAAAGACTAATCTCTTTAATAATGTTTTTCAATTCTATGCTCAAACTTCCAATGTATATTTTTGCTGCTATTTTCTTTTTTTATACCTGTCTTCTCCTTTTGTTTAAAATTACAGTTCCAGGTGCCGATGAATTGGGTGAACGTTTATCGGAAATTCTTGTGCGCAAAAAGCAATTTGTTGCCTCAATTATGTCCTTAGTCGATGAGTACGAGTTTAGTATTAGAAGGTAGATGAGTTTTAAGTTTGAATAGTTTTTTTTTGGTCTGCCTTCTCTTCCTCGTTTACTACTCTCTTTGGGCAATTTATCGGAATTTACAGGAACTTAGTTCTGCTGCTAACAGCATTGTTACGGTACCGTGGTAATGAGCTGCAGATGGCTATAATGGCAGAGCCTATGGGAGTTTCAAAGCTGGTGGATCTTTTACATGAATCTCGAGAGGTCAGTGTCATAAATGATTTTATTCGATAAATATTACTTTGCTTCTTCAATAATTCTATTTGTAGCTTGTATTTCTTGTTATATAGGTGGTAAGTAAAGGTTCCGGTCCACGAAGAAAATTAGAGCAGAAACTGCAGTGAGAATTTTTGCTGTTTTAAACATTACATCTTTGTTTTTGGTAGTTAATTTCAATTTTGAAAAGGTTTCTAGGAGGATAACTCACAGTTTGTATGGGCTAAGGGGTATAATTACGGGAGTTTAAATAATTTAATATCAGTTTTCATTTAGGCTGTTAGAAATAACGTCGTTTTGATGCTGAGCGAATTGAGTCGTGCCAACACTCAGATTCAACAGCTTTTGGCTTATGAGAACACTTTTCAACTTCTCTTTGATATCATAGAGGTCGAACCAAGTGAAAGTCTGTTTCTTTGTCACAGCTTTGTATAAAAACTTTTGAAGCCATCTTAATATGAGAATAAGCTTCGGTTTTTTTTAGTTGAGCTTGGCTCCATTAATAAAAAATTTTCGTATTCAAGGATTTTTTGAACAAATTTTCTACTTTTAAACATCTGATGCTTTTGCCTTTTTTTAATTTTGAACTTTTTTTAATTCAGGAAATGTTATAGGTATTGTTGTTGAAGATTGTTTATACGTGATGCTGAACTTATTAGGCAAAAATTCAATGAATCAACAATTGTTTAGAGAAGCAAGGTAAAGTTTTTCTTTTTTCTTTTTTATTTTCTTAAGGAAATAACTTTTTTTCCTCAAATGTAAGTTTTATTTTTTAGTTTAATACAAAGGTTGACATCTGTATTGCACACGTTTTTATACGGTGGAAGCGAAGAAGATGATGTAGGGTGGGATGAATGGCCAAAGCAGAAAGTGGCAAATGTTATATTTTTGCTGCAAGTCATACGAAGTCTTGTGTCTCCCTTGAATAATCCACAGAGTAATACATATGCTGCTGAGAAAGCTATTAGTCAGTCAGGTCAGACCCTGCTTTGCATATTTTATAAAACGCTTACATTGTATTGTATTTGTGGTGTCTTGTTTCTTTCTTCGTTAACCGCATCGTAAATTTTTCAGGGATGTTAGCCGAATTGTGCACTGTCTTGCTTTCAGTAGTTGGAGTTACTACTGACGTTTTAGCGGAAACAATTATCGCTGTTGCTGAGGTAATCCGTGGTAATTACGCTAATCAGGAGTATTTTGCAGGCAGAACCTTAGGCTCAAGTTTAGGAAACAGGTTTTTTAGTTTTTTTATTTGCCAAATATTTTGTTTTGGATTTTTTAGATTACTTCGGTGCCGAATGTGACATTCTGTAAAAATGCAGTTTTGAAACTTTTGTGCTCTTGTCTTCTGTAAGGAAGTTGCCAATTTGGGAAAAATTTTATATTTCTTATTTTTTATAGATCAGCTCTGCTTGTTCTTCTTATGACAATGACCGCTCAAAAGCAGGCATTAAAACTACGCTGTGCTGTCTTCTACTGTTTTTTATCGTACCTGTACGATAATAATCACGGAAAGACTAAAGTGTGGTTTTTTACATTCTTTGATGTGTTATAACAGTTTTAGTTTTAACAGCCGTTGTCGTGCCTTTTAACGTAGCCTCTATTAAAAAAACTCTCTATGTGTTCTAAGTGAAAACTGACATTTTTTGTAGATTATTGATACACTTTTACCGTCTGCATCAAGCGACAGTGCTTCAGGTCCTACTGCTGGTCAATGCCTCTGTTCTGCCATAATGAGCAGCGAAGGAGTACAGGTAAGATAAATTCCTCTTAGGAGTAGGATCCTACGAGCCTCTCTTTTTAAAGTTCTGAAGTGAGAAACAGTTTGTTTTATGAACTGCTCTTTCTACAATTATTTTTTCCTTTTCGTTTTTTTTTAGTCTGAGTTATAGAAAAACACTTAAGCTGAAGCTTCTTTCAATTGAGTCTGTCTAAATGTCGGTTTTCAAACTAGGTTTGGATGGGCTGTGTGTGCCTTATTCACTGCCTTATTGATGCGGATCACTTGAAACAGCAGCTTCTAAAAGTTCACCTGACAATCGACTCTTCTGAAACTCCTACTCCTTTGATAAGACACTTGGGGAATCTACTGGTTAATTAAATATATTTTAAAACGTTCTCATTTATAAATTATATTTATTATCATTTGTAGATCTTTTGATGGGGACTGAGTAATTTATTTTGTAAGATTTGGCAATGACAGTTTATTAGAATTGATTTAGATTTCACTGGGTAATAGGAAGCCACAGGTCCGTGCGGGGCTTTTGATGCTTCTAGCTGTTTGGCTTCACAACTGTCCACTTGCTGTTACACAGTTCCTTCAAGTTGAAGATATTGTCCAGTACTTAACAACGCAGATTGGTTAGTCTTTTCTTTACCTAATTTCTGGGCTTAGCCCAGTCATTTTGCAGATATCCATGCTTATTTCATTCAGATGAGTGTGGCGCTGAAGGATCTGAAGGAGAAAACCGAGTTGTTCATGGACTTTTGGCTTTGGTTCTTGCTCTTTGTTTATTGGATGGGGAGGCGACAGATAATGATAAGTATGGTTTTTTTTTGAATTTCTTTATTTGCACTGACATGTTTCTTTTTTAATACTATGAATATTTTTACAGAAATTCATTGAATGCCATAGTCGAGAGACGTGTAGGCAATGAAAAAATCGTAGAACTTCTTGAAGGGATTTCTAACAGTGAACAGTATGTGCATGCTGCGCAACAGCCCCAACCAAAAGCAAAAACACCTGGCGATCTTTTTCTAGATTTTCAGTTCACGAAATTTTTTAAAGGCCTGGAAGGTATATCTTTATGTTAGGTTTTCTGTCTTTGAAATTTTACTCTCAGTTTTTCAGGATTGAGTAGCACTATTTTTTCGCAGATGATTTTCTGCTTAATATTCTTCAGCATTTCCACTCGAAGGAGCATAAATTTGACAGCTTTTTTTAAAGAAAGTTATTTTTTAATCTGAATTAAACCCTTACTGAATAGTGGAATACTTCGAGTAGTAGCGAGTGCATTAAGCTTTAAAAAGTTTAAAGCATTTAGAATTAATAAAAATAGTGGGGAGCAATTTTCCTCTGAAAATCTCTTTTTTTAATTTTAAGACTGTTGCTAAAAGTACTAGTAGGTTATTGTTGGTGTGTGCGTCGTTAAATTTCTGATTATCAGTTTTACTTTCTCTCATAGGAGGTTTACTTTTTTTTCATTTTCGTAAAAAATGATCTTTGAGGTCAAATTACGAAGCAGTTAAAACCAGATGGTAGCTCTGTCGCTAATGGGACGAGTGAAAAAGTGGTCTTATCTTTTAAAGAATTGGTGAAAAGGCAGGATGAGACTATAGCGGAGAGAGATCAACAGTTAAAGAAGCTTGCCGGGGAGAAAGAAGTTTGGCTTAAACTTAGTTTTGCTCGAATGTGGTTTAATTTGTTTTTCTGCTCATTTAACTTAAATTTAACACTGTTCTTTTTATTCAAGGCTGAAAAGGAACATTATGAGGCCGAAATCTCGTTGTTAAAGGAAAAAGTGTCTCAAATGGAGCAGTTGCATAAGTACGCTTATATTTGCCACAAGGAATTATTTTGAGTTCTTTTAAGTATTGATTATTTGTTGCTTTATTGTTATTTTTATTTCTAGTCATTTTCAGTAATGCAGCGCCGTGGCAGGCAGAAGCACAAAGGTATATGAAATGGGCAGAGGAATGGCAGTTGTTTGAAACTGGAAAGGTATGAGTTCAAGCAGAATGGGAGCTAATTTCTGCTAAAATCTTTCCTCATTTCGGTTCGTGTCATTATATCATCATTTTTCCAATTTCCCTCTACTCACTTCTAGTATACTAACCCTGCTGATGCTGTTGTGGAGCAGCTAACGAAACAGGTTAGAGAACTGGAGGAACAGTTGAACGTCGGTTGGCAGGCGTATGAAACGTTGCAGCAACAAAGCTACGCTCAGATTACTCAATTAAATGAAAAATCACAGAGCCTTGAGAAGCAAGTTGCAGCACTTTCCGCAGAAAAACAGAAGGTTTGACTTTTTGTTTGTTTACCTTCTAACTGCGGAACTTTTTACCTTCACGTTTTAGAGTAGCGAAAATGAGGAACTGGCGGCAAAGAATAAAGAGATAGAAGATCTGCTAGTTTTGCTTGCCGATCAGGATGCGAAAATATCTGAATATCGAAGGACGTTGGTACAGTTGGGTCAAACTGTCACAGACGATGAGGAAGAACAAGATGCATAATAATTCTTAAATCATTTTTAGTTTTTTAATGTGGAAAATCGACCATTAATGCTAGTTTTTTTATTTTGGATTCTAGGCGTGATGTTTGCATTCGGGGACAAGAATTATATATTTTGTGCTTCCAAACTTCGTCTGTGATAAATTTTTTGTATATATAATTGAGGACGTTGTTTTTTGTTTTTGTTAGCTGTTCTACGATGTAGAGTAGTAGCAGATCATTGTTATGGACCGTATGCAAATATTGAATTCAGGTGTCTAGGTTGTTTGACAAACAATTTGTTGACTTGTTGTTTCTGTAAAGGTTTCCAGTACTGTCATTTGGGTTGTTTTGTTGTTTTGGTGGATTTCTATTAATTTATTGTAATTTCACTGTTTTATCCCTGTACTTCTGCAAAATAAAATTATTTTCTTAGACGTTTTCCCAGTAAGATGAGTATTTAGTTGGAGCAGCTTGTTTCATAGCGGGCTTTTTTGAACTGAGTCGACCGGAAAAGGCTTCTACATTTTGTGGTGCTGTGAGGACCTCTGCGATGTTATTTTTAACGAACTAAAGGTAGA